CATACATACATACATACATACATACATATATACATATATACATACATACATACATACATACATACATACATACATACATACATACATCTGTCTCATCCCTATTGTCACCATGGTTCATGCGCTTAGTTGGTCGGCCTGACGGCTTCAGTCCCTTGCACGGGGGGGTGTGCCAATCTGAAGACCTCAAGTGTGCGGCAGGGTATGTGCTGTACGACGGCAAGTGTCTGTTGCACGAGGAGAAGCGTGAGTTAGAGGCTAACGCACGCAACATTCGCCTACTGATGGCCTCGGAGAACTTGTTCAAACGGCTACGCAGACACGAAGGTGTGTGGGCTGGGGGGTGGGGTGACGCGCTGTGGCTGTCCTGTCATGTGGTGCAGTGGGTTGTGTTTTACGGTTTTGGGGTTAGGGTGTAGGGTTTAGGGTTTAGGAGTTATTGACCTCGAGTGACCCACCTTTCTATGCATTGGGTGCTTTGCGGATGGCATAGGGGGGGGGGTTTAAATACCCTAAAACACAAGTGCTCAGGTACTATCACGTGGTATTGTTCGCTCCATCCACAGGGTTTGCACAGTGCGGGTACACAGACGCACCGGGGCTGTACTGGACAGGAGAGGCGCATGTCATCAAAGAAGAGGTGAGTCAGCAGAGTCAGCGCTACCCACAACACAGAAGCAATCATGCGGTGAACTGCTTTGGTGTGTGTGCACACTTTGGCTATAATATATATTACATAGTGTATCTTGTACCTTAGAGATGCCAGTCCTCTCCCACTGCTGTGGTGTGTGCTATTGAGTGTCTGCTGTGTCTCATCTGAATGTCTGTCATCTATCGGCACTGCTGGTCACTGGCTCGTCTCGAAGGTGCGCCACCTCCTCCAACGTATCTTAAAACCCTAGACCCTAAAACGTATCTCTGAGGATAGTACCTAGTAACACTGTTCTTGCAGTGTAGTCATCCCATACAGATACCATAGTAACACGGCAATAGCCACCTCACCTAACTACAATACTGGCTACGCATGTGCTTGCATACACCGTCACCCACAGTTTGCAATGGAGTCAGACAATCTACTGTTCCGAATGATTGAAGTGATCAATGGCGAACTGTGTCCTGTGGCGCCGCCGACAGCAGAAGACTCGTACGCAGATGCTCTGCCACTGCATATGCAGAGGAAGCATGGTAAGCAATAATAGTATGGTAAGCAATAATAGTATGGTAAGCAATAATAGTATGGTAAGCAATAATAGTATGGTAAGCAATAACAGTATGGTAAGCAATAATAGTATGCTAAGCAATAATAGTATGGTAAGCAATAGTAGTATGGTAAGCAATAGTAGTATGGTAAGTTATAGTAGTATGGTAAGCAATAGTAGTATGGTAAGAAATAGTAGTATGGTAAGCAATAGTAGTATGGTAAGTAATGGTAGTATGGTAAGCAATGGTAATTTGGTAAGCAGCGCCTTGCTTTTTAGCTGTGTGTGCGCTGGCTTTTTTTCATCTACTTGATTCGTTTGTAGTGCGTGTGATGTGGATAACTCGCCACATGCGATATCTTTGTGTGTTACAAAACCACACTCAGACGGAGAGGCCTTTACGCACATACACGCCATTCTCATATCCTGTGCGAGTAGCATTGCCATTTAAAGATACCGAACTTTGTTCTTAAGCATATTCCCACTGGGTGTGTGGATGTAGGTGCGTTCTTATTCTTATAAATCGACTCATGCAGCAGATCAAGTATGCCCACCACTTCTGGTTGCCCGCGTGTATATGTACACCTGTTCATTTGCGACTGTTCCAGGGCTGCATCTCACCCCACACTGTCGTAGTGTTTGCACCTACCTACGCTATTCCATCCCCCATCCGCTCTCCCCTATTCTCTCCCCTTATTCTCCCCCCCATACACACACACACTCTATCGGCAGTCATGCGCCCCCCCTGTGTGTTCCTAGAGCACATGGACGCAGACCCCTACATCCACGTGGACAAAGCTTTGGCCATCATCAGCCTGGAGTGTCGGCTACGTCGGTGGGTGCGCACGCTGTCCATGCTGATGCTGGGAGTGTTTGGTGTGTTGCTGTCACTGCTGGTGGGTCAGATACGCCGCAAGCGGAGGGCCAGGGCAGAACGAGAGACGAAGGAAGCGCTCGAGCGACTGCTGAGAGAAGCCAAGGCCAGGCGATTGCACTCGAATGAGGTATTGGAGCACGTATGGATAGTGCAAGTATAGGTGGTGGTAGGGGACTAAAAGGATAGGTGGTGTATGTGTGTGTGGGGGGGGTGTGAAGTGTATGTGGGGGGGTGATCTGTGTATGTAAGTGGGGGCTTGATTTGCTGGCGTGTATTGTATCTGTGTTTAATGTTTGCGACGTGGTGTGGCTTATTTGACTTTGATGACTGTGCTTAGGGCCCGTACAAACGAGATATAGTTAACCGAAATAGTTGCCTCAAAATAGTTGTGGACCAATGAATGTACAGGAACGATTTTTCACAAAAAAATGATATTACACTATTTCGAGGTCAACTTTCCGAGAGTCTGGGACCCTCGGAAACCTTCAACTCGCACAACAGCTTTACGTTATAGTCCAAAAAAGTACATAAACTAACGAACTTCGCTTAAATACGAACTATTTTTGTGATATTTGCGGTTGCGATTCAAAACTGAAAAAATACCTTGACTGTTTTGGGTCAAATATCCAAAAAAAAGTTTTGGGTTCGTATGTAGGGCATCACACAGTCAATATAAGGCTGTCGCCCTATTGTACATCAACTATTTTGTAAAAAACTATTTTTCGTTTATACGGGTCCTTACAACCCTCAATGAAAGTGACATTACTTGCCGGTTTAGATCGCTTTAAACCCAAGAACCCTAGACTGATGGTAGGTGTGTCGCAACTGTATACAGTGCTAATGGCTTTAAACCTAAGAATCCTAGGCTGATGGTAGGTGTGTTGCAACTGTATACAGTGCTAATGGCTTTAAACCAACGAACTCTAGACTGATCGTAAGTGTCTTAGACTGATGGTACGTGTGTGCTAATGGCAAGTCAATTGCTTCGCTTCGTTCACAGTTCTACGTCGTCATCGAGGACTTCAGACGAGACTGTCTGAAGCTGTACGAGGCCGACGTAGTTGATGAGGTGAGTGCTGTGTCGGTTGGCTTAAGAGAGAGAGAGAGAGACAGGCCAAGTGTACTTGCTAGGGCATTAGCTGTAGGATTACACTCATACCATCACCTGAGCTTACATTCATACTATCACCTGAGCTTACATTCATACCATCACCTAAGCTCACATTCATACCATCTCCCAAGCTTACATTCATACCATCACCTGAGCTTACATTCATACTATCATCTGAGCTTACATTCATGCCATCACCTGAGCTTACATTCATGCCATCGCCCAAGCTTACATTGATACCATCACCCAAGCTTACATTGATACCATCACCCAAGCTTATATTGATACCATCACCCGGGCTTACATTCATGCCATCACCTCAGTCACTGCCACGTCTGCTGCTCACCTTCCTATCTCATTTTCTGCACCCACTAGGCTATTCTGCGGGCACGCCACGACGCTCGGGTGCAGACATTCAAAATGTTAATCAACGGCAAGGAGCAGAAGGTCCTGAGGTGGCTCGATGAGAGACGTAAGTTGTACTTACACCACGAGAAGCGCTTGAGCGTGAAGCGTGCAGGGGTAGTTTATGTGTTGCATAGTATATAGACTGTTTGTGTTGTTTGGGTTTCGAGTCAGGTGCTCGAGGACCGGAGGTGCCATGTGCGTGTGGTTTGTGGCAGAGGTGAATGGCTGTACTCATTACTGGCAGTACACATGCTGCGCTATATACTATGATGTAGAAAAATCATTGAGATTGCAATGAAAGTTTGCAACGGATGTGGCATGTACTTAACACCGTTTATTGTCTGTGAACACACTACACGTATACACATCTACATGTTCAGCACAGAATGTGATAACGTCGGCGCTCATACGCGGCGTCTGAGTTGCTATTAAATCCATTGTCAAATTCAGAAAACAACCAGAGATGACAGTGTATATGTATACCTCAGTAAGTAACATTAAGTCCACAAACGATATCTGCGCACCGAACTTTTTATTAATCCGTCTCAAACACAGAACCCGTCAAGGAGGAGGTCGCGAACACATCCTTCGTACAGAAGTACAAGCCAACACCAGGACCAAAAGGACCGATCTATCCCACCTTCTGAAGCGGATAATAGGACTCAATATATAAACAATATACAGTGAATCGTCAATACTATACAGTGAATCATCAACACTCGCACCTTCTGAAGTGCGGATTAAGACTCAATCAATAAACAACAGACAGTGATATATATGTATATATATATATATATATATATATATATATATATATATTATTAATTAATATATTATTATTATTAGTTTA